ACGGAAACACAACAGAGCTGAGGTTATTTCCGTTTTCATCAGGTGCTTACTGACAGATAAAGGGCTTACGACAGTGCATACACACATACATACAAAAGGATCATTAACAAAAATCCAATCAAATACGAAGGAAAGAAATAAAGAAAATAAGTGGCCCGTGTGTGTGTGTGTATTCTCCTACCAGAAAGCTTCGCCAATGCTGTGCGGATGTACCGCGAGCTGTGAAACCATTATCGTCTTTGCCACAGTCTGACACTTGACGGCGTCCGGTACAATCACAGTTCTACCCACGGCAGTTCCAATTTGTCGTTTGCCTACAAAGGGTCGTTCCCGAGATTATACACCCCTTTAAAGCACAGCGATAACTTATACGTACCACCTGCTTTAACACTTTGTAACTCCGCATTATGACAACACAGTATATTATTCATGTGTTTCGTATGTTTTCCTGAAAAAATATCGGTTATTTCTCTGAACAGCAAATACCAATTGATCGTTGTCATGGAGACGATTGGTGTTATCTTTTCTGTTACGGAGAGACGAGCTTCATGATTCAAAGGGGAAGACTTATTTGATTCTTTTTTCGTTTCCATCTTTCCACCTTTTCTACGTTTCTTCCTTTCTTTATCACTCTTTGTTTTTTTCTTTCATTCTCAGTTTTATTGCCAGTAACTTGTTTCTCTCGAAACCGCCATGTTGACGGCCAACCCTCCCAACGAGGGCTATTTCGCTACACAGTCAGAAGTTCAAAGCGTCAGGGAGGGAGAAATGACAGTAGAAAACAAATAATTGGGCAACTGCACTGCTGTTCGCGGTCCAGTGCGCGATAGCTCAGAATGTATGAATAACAAGCACAACCCCACGGGTAAAAGCGCACCAATGGTCATTGAAATTTATTTTCACACAAACAAAACAGCGCTCTCTGCACACAGCACATTGCACGGCTTCAAATGGCATTTCTCCCTATGTTCTTTTTTTCCTACACTGATCTGCCTCTAGCATTTTTTCAAACACAGCTACGGGTCTAATACTTTGCTCATCAACATCTCATCAGCCTGTACAAATCAGCACAGCGGCAGGTCTGCGTGAATTACTGCCGTGCTACAGCAAATGGACGGACTGCAGAGATCCGTTTGATAAACAAAAACGTTCTCGGACATCAGTATTGGAAATCCATTAATTACTCCAAACTTGCTTCTATACCAAATCTGTGGATTAATCGGCAGTGAAAATTTTGACTGTGGTCTTCTGGGATGGCTCTGTGCAGTCTTATAGGTGGTAACCAGCGTTTCGAAGGAACACACCGCCTCCAACTTCAGGGAACAAGTGAAACACCGACAAGTTTGCACAATCCAAACTGCTTCTCTACAATTTAAAGTTACAAGTTTCCGTTGGGTTAAAGTTTATAAAATCAAGCAGCACCTCAGTCAAATGCTACTGAGAAGCTTGCACATTACGCAGTCTACAATCTGTATGGCGCATCCTTTCACAGGCGCCTCTGGGCACAATATAATGGTAAGGTGATTTTACGAAACGTTTCCAGAAGTTCGTACAGTTAACAGCGCGACTTCAGACAAAGTAAAGTTCGTTATTCTGAATCTGTCCTAGGAAGCTTTTACGACAGTTTGTAAGTTCACACTAAACAATGCTTTGTGTTGGAACTACACGTTTAGTTGCAAAATGCACGCAGTTTCACTCTTCTTTTGTTATCTCTCGTTACACTCCTCTGTTCCCTACTTCCTCCTGCACACACAAGGTCCTTGTTACCTGCAATCACTGTTGACAAAAGAAATTATTCAAATATTTACCCTGCAAGGAAATTCGATCACAGGTGTTTTCGGCACACTTTTTAACGGAAGTTGCTGGTTTCCAAGGAACGTATGGGATGCGAGGGGGCACAACGTGACTTCATGCTTGTTGAGTTTATGTCCCCATAACGCACACCTCATCTACCTCATTCCTACTGTTTTAAATGTCCCAACAAAACCGGCTGAAGAGTACAAAATACGATTCTTCTCGATATGTTAGCTTCTCCAACCCTTACCTGCCAGCCTCTTAATTTACATTCTTCGCCAAATATTAATCCGGTGATAAAATTAAGTACAATCACATGGGCGGGGCATGTATCCAGCATGGGAGAGATAAGAAATTCGTATAAAATTTTGGCAGAAATAACTGGGAGACCTGGACGTAGAAACGAAAATTTTATTAAAACAGATCTTAGAAGAAACTGGTTGTGGCCATTTGGACTGAATCCATCTGGCTCAGAAACAGATTCCAATGGTGGTCTCTTTTGAACACGGCAGTGGGCTTTCGGTTCTGTACAAGGCCGGGAATTTCTTGACGAAATGAACGACTATCAGCTATCTCAAGAAAGAGTTTGTTCCACGGAGGTAGTTCTTCAACCGGCATGAATTAAGTCGCGAACCTTCAACGGTACACCCACAACAGGCTGGGAAACTTGACCGCTTTTCGGGAGTGTCAGCGGAGCAAGGGTTTGTGAAACAAATGCACAAGGAGACAGACAGAGCGAGATGGCAAATGCGGTCGGCTGCCACAGGCCTTCATCTGCACAGCTCACCCCAGGGAAGAAGAATCTGTGGACGACCCTCATTCATCTCGGGTTGGAATTGCAGTTGCTGCTCGCGAAACAACGGCGAAGTAAGCAAAAGCCGGATACTAAGACCGTCTTTTTTTGTGGCTGGGATGGCTCTGTGCAGTCTTATAGGTGGTAACCAGCGTTTCGAAGGAACACACCGCCTCCAACTTCAGGGAACAAGTGAAACACCGACAAGTTTGCACAATCCAAACTGCTTCTCTACAATTTAAAGTTACAAGTTTCCGTTGGGTTAAAGTTTATAAAATCAAGCAGCACCTCAGTCAAATGCTACTGAGAAGCTTGCACATTACGCAGTCTACAATCTGTATGGCGCATCCTTTCACAGGCGCCTCTGGGCACAATATAATGGTAAGGTGATTTTACGAAACGTTTCCAGAAGTTCGTACAGTTAACAGCGCGACTTCAGACAAAGTAAAGTTCGTTATTCTGAATCTGTCCTAGGAAGCTTTTACGACAGTTTGTAAGTTCACACTAAACAATGCTTTGTGTTGGAACTACACGTTTAGTTGCAAAATGCACGCAGTTTCACTCTTCTTTTGTTATCTCTCGTTACACTCCTCTGTTCCCTACTTCCTCCTGCACACACAAGGTCCTTGTTACCTGCAATCACTGTTGACAAAAGAAATTATTCAAATATTTACCCTGCAAGGAAATTCGATCACAGGTGTTTTCGGCACACTTTTTAACGGAAGTTGCTGGTTTCCAAGGAACGTATGGGATGCGAGGGGGCACAACGTGACTTCATGCTTGTTGAGTTTATGTCCCCATAACGCACACCTCATCTACCTCATTCCTACTGTTTTAAATGTCCCAACAAAACCGGCTGAAGAGTACAAAATACGATTCTTCTCGATATGTTAGCTTCTCCAACCCTTACCTGCCAGCCTCTTAATTTACATTCTTCGCCAAATATTAATCCGGTGATAAAATTAAGTACAATCACATGGGCGGGGCATGTATCCAGCATGGGAGAGATAAGAAATTCGTATAAAATTTTGGCAGAAATAACTGGGAGACCTGGACGTAGAAACGAAAATTTTATTAAAACAGATCTTAGAAGAAACTGGTTGTGGCCATTTGGACTGAATCCATCTGGCTCAGAAACAGATTCCAATGGTGGTCTCTTTTGAACACGGCAGTGGGCTTTCGGTTCTGTACAAGGCCGGGAATTTCTTGACGAAATGAACGACTATCAGCTATCTCAAGAAAGAGTTTGTTCCACGGAGGTAGTTCTTCAACCGGCATGAATTAAGTCGCGAACCTTCAACGGTACACCCACAACAGGCTGGGAAACTTGACCGCTTTTCGGGAGTGTCAGCGGAGCAAGGGTTTGTGAAACAAATGCACAAGGAGACAGACAGAGCGAGATGGCAAATGCGGTCGGCTGCCACAGGCCTTCATCTGCACAGCTCACCCCAGGGAAGAAGAATCTGTGGACGACCCTCATTCATCTCGGGTTGGAATTGCAGTTGCTGCTCGCGAAACAACGGCGAAGTAAGCAAAAGCCGGATACTAAGACCGTCTTTTTTTGTGGCTGGGATACGTTCAAGGACGACTCGATGTTTCTGGGTCGTAATTTTACAGCCATGTTCTCGCATTGTTATTCAAGAACAGCTAGAGAAGAAATTGCTGACAAATATTCTAACTCGTTTACAGCCTCGAAAAGAAGGGTCTTAAAAACTGAAACCCATAAAAATTACTACAATAAAAGTGTCAACATATTCAACTCTGACAAATCACTTTAAGGATTGCAACGCGACTACGGAATATTAAGTTAAAATGCACACCGTAAGGAGACAACACACAAATAAGGCGCATTCGGTTCTCCAGGCTGTAAAAATGTGGGTTATGGCGCCGTGTAATCTTGCAGATGAAGATTTCTGTCTTCTGGGGTGTTGCGCTGTGTAGTCTGGTCGATGTTACCCAACGTTTCAGAGGTCATACTGCCTCCGTCATCAGGGCGATGAAGATTGCTGTCTTCTGGGTAGTTGCGCTGTGTCGTCTGGTCGATGTTAACCAACGTTTCAGAGGGCATACTGCCTCCGTCATCAGGGCGATGAAGATTGCTGTCTTCTGGGTAGTTGCGCTGTGTCGTCTGGTCGATGTTAACCAACGTTTCAGAGGGCATACTGCCTCCGTCATCAGGGCAACAACCCAGAAGACGGAAATCTTCATACTCACCGCTGTGAGAACCTCAAGTCTTGTAGATGTCATATCGGTGTCCGAACCATCTCGACCGCCGTGAGAAACTCAAATCTTCCAAACAGTCTTTCAGGTGGCCACCGACGTTTCGGAGGAACGCATCATCTCCATCATCAGGACAAACGTTTAGACGCCATGTGGGTGGTTACAAAAGACTCGGTAGAACGACATGCTATTCCAAATTTTGGCAACACCTGCAAGAATACACAACCCAGGAGACCACAATCCACACTGCACACCTTCCCACATCCGTTCCAATGTACTCATTTGATAGGAGATTGGTTGGACTACAAAGCTGGTCTGGACGCAGATGCTAAGAGAAAATCTCTTAGCTTTGACGGGAATCAAATTATCTATCATCCAGGCCGTAGCCCAGATACACAGCCATTGTACTGTATTCACTGAGCTACTTAACTCTTAATTCGGCACGACACCCTCTACAGAAGAAAGTAATTAAATCGAGTAGGATTTGAGAATATCACAGCGGTGAGTATAGGTCCATGCTGCCTCTGTCATCAGGGTGACGCTGCTTCCATCACCGCAGGGACCTCTGAAACGTTGCTAAACTTCTGTCAGACTACACGGCGCTACAACCCAGAAGACAGCCATCTGATCAAATGGAAACTGTTACAAGAATGTATATCGAACAGTCTTCTTTTAAAGTCCCACATGCAGTACTGAACGTTCTTGAGACACACTGCACGGTTCGCTCATCGCCGGTATTTGCTTTTCCTGATTCCTTTTTCTTAGAACAATTTTCCCGGTCTTACCGAGTTGGCTCAAGACTTGGAATCAATTCCTGGAATCCCTGAAGCAGTAAATGTTTCAACCGAAAGGAGGAGCTGTCAGAAATTTGACAGGAAGAGTGTCACGCTTATGTTCAGGATGATAAACGCAACCCTGGGGTTGGGGGAGGGGGGGGGGGGGGAAGGGATCCCAACATTCGTTAGGCTAGTTAAGCGGTCTGAGAGGCACACACACGCCGCTAAATGTGGGTTTCCGGTTCCGCAGTGCAGCACGGGATATCCCAACGGCATAGTGGGTCACGCTGTGGCTGAAGCATTGATTTGCATGTTCCAGACTCGGACCACACGTAATGCATTGTGTAACCCAATTAGAGACACTTGTTCTCACTGTGCGTGAGAAGTTACTGGGATCGTCCACACGGTCTGCACAAAAACGATTCAAACAGAGTTTGTAGATATGTTTGTGGTCTGTCTTAATACAAAAATTCCGCAAACCAACCCCCAAACTACCATCAAACGAGAACCCAAATGTAAAAATATGTGAACGCGGTGTCTTTTCCAACCTACAACATATCTAAACATGTTTCTTTACGATTTATAACCACACTCCTTTCCAGTTCTCTGTATTCACTGGCTCTAGTGTAAATTCCGTTTCCAAACTTCACACGGTCGTCATGTCTGTGTTACCGTTAACAGGAAATTAAAATGTACAAAAGAGCACAGACATCCAGTGGAATAGTGTTCATACCGAGCAAATCATTCAATTTCTTGAAACGCTAGCCAACTCCAGTTAGGCTAAATGAAGTAGGCTCGTGAACTATCAGCGGACATCATGCTGGTCAAGGCTGGTCCAGCTTCAATACCCACTGATGAACGTATAACTGTCCCAAGACGTGTCTATTTACCGACGCTTTCTCAACTGCCTCGAATTGCAAGGGTGACTGTGACTGATGAATTTAGAAAGGAATTTGAGGTGGACATTAACCGGTTCCTCCGACATCTTCTTCAATTCATAATTCACTAACAACCCGATCATTCGATGATATATAGCTGGGCAACTAGAAGCCTCGTTACATAAACCAAGAATAAATAAAATAAATATGAGACTGCTTCAGCTTTGTCAGTAGCCAGCCCATGCTTCTACCGTTGGCGTTACGACCGAGCATTTACAGTAGGGTATGTATACCCCAGGCAAGAGAATCGCCTCAGAACGATACTGCTTCATACAGTCCGGTTTACTACTTGACTTTTCATTCAGTATACCGACGCCAAAATGTGATGTCGCTTCCATTCACCTGAAGGGTCCAACATCTGTATTCTGGCTGGGATTTGGGCCACGCGCCAGCTGGTGCCTGGCTCAGTTCATTTCAGCTGGCTCTACGCTCCCCTCCTCGAGCAGAACAGGCTTCAGTAGGTTGGAGTGCGCGGTACAGACTGGACGCGGCGCCCGAGACCCGAGCCCACTACCGCAGCTCTGGGACAGCGTCTTCTGCGCTGGGGGTATTCAGAAACACTGTGGGGGATCCCAACATTCGTTAGGCTAGTTAAGCGGTCTGAGAGGCACACACACGCCGCTAAATGTGGGTTTCCGGTTCCGCAGTGCAGCACGGGATATCCCAACGGCATAGTGGGTCACGCTGTGGCTGAAGCATTGATTTGCATGTTCCAGACTCGGACCACACGTAATGCATTGTGTAACCCAATTAGAGACACTTGTTCTCACTGTGCGTGAGAAGTTACTGGGATCGTCCACACGGTCTGCACAAAAACGATTCAAACAGAGTTTGTAGATATGTTTGTGGTCTGTCTTAATACAAAAATTCCGCAAACCAACCCCCAAACTACCATCAAACGAGAACCCAAATGTAAAAATATGTGAACGCGGTGTCTTTTCCAACCTACAACATATCTAAACATGTTTCTTTACGATTTATAACCACACTCCTTTCCAGTTCTCTGTATTCACTGGCTCTAGTGTAAATTCCGTTTCCAAACTTCACACGGTCGTCATGTCTGTGTTACCGTTAACAGGAAATTAAAATGTACAAAAGAGCACAGACATCCAGTGGAATAGTGTTCATACCGAGCAAATCATTCAATTTCTTGAAACGCTAGCCAACTCCAGTTAGGCTAAATGAAGTAGGCTCGTGAACTATCAGCGGACATCATGCTGGTCAAGGCTGGTCCAGCTTCAATACCCACTGATGAACGTATAACTGTCCCAAGACGTGTCTATTTACCGACGCTTTCTCAACTGCCTCGAATTGCAAGGGTGACTGTGACTGATGAATTTAGAAAGGAATTTGAGGTGGACATTAACCGGTTCCTCCGACATCTTCTTCAATTCATAATTCACTAACAACCCGATCATTCGATGATATATAGCTGGGCAACTAGAAGCCTCGTTACATAAACCAAGAATAAATAAAATAAATATGAGACTGCTTCAGCTTTGTCAGTAGCCAGCCCATGCTTCTACCGTTGGCGTTACGACCGAGCATTTACAGTAGGGTATGTATACCCCAGGCAAGAGAATCGCCTCAGAACGATACTGCTTCATACAGTCCGGTTTACTACTTGACTTTTCATTCAGTATACCGACGCCAAAATGTGATGTCGCTTCCATTCACCTGAAGGGTCCAACATCTGTATTCTGGCTGGGATTTGGGCCACGCGCCAGCTGGTGCCTGGCTCAGTTCATTTCAGCTGGCTCTACGCTCCCCTCCTCGAGCAGAACAGGCTTCAGTAGGTTGGAGTGCGCGGTACAGACTGGACGCGGCGCCCGAGACCCGAGCCCACTACCGCAGCTCTGGGACAGCGTCTTCTGCGCTGGGGGTATTCAGAAACACTGTGGCAGCAAGCAACTGAAGAGGAAAGGAACTTGCGGTCACCGGTCACTGAAAGAGGGACACAAGTCACGGGGTACTTGTGTGTGTCAGGGGGGTTGTTTACAAACAGAACGCACGGCACGTGGAGGAGTGACGTCATTCCTCCCACCATCCACTAAGAAAGACGGAAGACACGCGAGAAGAGTGGTCACAACAGATTCACCACCAGCAGCAGTACGGGGGCCAATACGCGTATCACCACCACCTCCAACATCACCATCACCATCGGGCGGAACACGCCTATTGCATCCACATGCCGTCGCGCGAGCAGTATAAGGTAAGGCGATCTCTGGTGTCAAACTCGGAATCTGACGCGAAGTCTATCGACGAAGTGCTGAGCAAAGCGTTTGGTACCAACAGGCAAAACGGGAACGGGGTGCTTAACGATGGGTTTTCAAATGCTCATGTTATTCAGCGCTAATCGGAAGGATGATCATGAATTGAGAATCGGAAACCATGTTGAAAGACCTGGTATTTTTAGGTTCTTTCTCAGCATTTACCGGACAGACTGAGGAAAACCACGAATAAGATAGTGATAGCGGGCTGCTGGGCCAAAAATCAAATCAGTGACCGCCAAAATACGTCTCAATCACGATGTTCAGTAAGAACATATATATATATATATATATATATAAACACTGATTTATATAGAGATGTGTGGGAACGAAGTGACAGCAAATATATTTTAAATTAAGATAGAAGGAATAACTTGGAGGACAAAAATAAATAAGTAGGAGGTTCATAATTTTTACTATTCACCATATTATTAGGATGATCAAATAAAAAATAAGACGGGCGGGACACGTAGCACGCACGGCGACCTGAGAAATCAATATCAAATTTTAATCTAAAAATGCGAAGGAAGGAAAGAAAGACCTGGGTGAGATGGAATGATAATGTTATTTTAGAGAAACTGTGTGCGAAAATGAGGACTGCATTAAGTTGGTTCAGAACCTGGTACACTGACTAGCTTTTGTTAACAGGGTTATGGACGTTTGAGTACCACGAAATCAGGGAGCTCTTTGACCAGCTATATGACTTAACAACTTATCAAGTTAAGTCTGTGCGCCATGATGTTTGATCACATGCGTGTGTGCAATCTCTGAACAAAGAAATGTCACTCACATACGAAACAACAAGTCATGCTTCATCAATTTTCCTCCAACGTTTGGAAATTTATACATTAAAAGTAGTGTCCGATTTCACTTGTCTCTGTCAACCCAAGAATCGCCCGTGGTCATATTTAAAAAAACATCTCTACCAGAACAGGCGATAGGAAAACAGAAAGCTGGTACAGGGTGTGTGCGGTCTGTTGCTACAACGGTGTGCCGCTTCCACCTACATAACACAGCCGATATCGAATCTGCCTCAAGCGAAACCAATGACAGAAACTGCTGACTTCTATTTAGCACAAACTTGAAAGAAGAACGGCGAAGTAACCGCTCACCTCCATTCTGTGACGAGGTTAACAGCTCGTGGAACTTTATCTCCACCCTCACCCCATAAGTTTTCATAGCATGGTACAAAGAGATTGTACCCTCACCGGGAATCGAAGCCAGTCCGTAGCCAGCCACCTCACCAACTGAACTATCCCGGTTCATAAGTAATGAAATTATATTTCAGTCGGATGCTCTTTCCAGTGATATATAACTTCCACAGCTGACACGGTATTATTAAATAACCCAAGAATCTCGATCCGTTCTTGGATTCAAGATGAGATCAACGTAAGTTACATACAGTCAGATAAAAAATATATGAAGAAGCTAACACAGATCGAGGGCACCAGCGGGATTCTTGGTCGATTGTTTAACGACGTTGCACGCTGCTGAATAACACATTGACACGTAAATGGCTAATAGGAAAGGGTATGGACGAAGCGGTCATGGAAACTATCCAGGCATTCGTCCGGAGGGACTGGATAAAAAAAACACACTTAGAACAGCCGATATCTGAGTGGAGACTCGAACCCGGGACCTCCCACAGCACGAATGCTAACCACCGGATTGCCAGGTTCGGTGTGCAGCGGGATTCGAAGTCGCGAACACTGTGGCAGTGTTAGCTTCACTTCCAGAAATAAATCGCTCCAGTTCCATAAAAATAACACGCGTTCATGAGCAGGAGAGTGCCCTGTGTGGCGACGTGCAGTAGTTCAATGCCATTTTAATTTTTACGGCCAGTTACCGGTTTACTAGACTCCGTACGAAAATTACTACATCTGAGGCTTTCACGGACGTGGAAATTTGGATTGTGGTCTTCTGGGTCACAACGCCGCCCACACTTGTAGGTGGTCACCAACTTTTCGGAAGCAATGTATCATCTCCATCGTTAAAGTAGTACTTCGGCCCCGAAGATGGGGGCGACACGTCTCTCCGAAAAGTTGATCCACGAGGGATAAAGGAAATGAGAAGCTGACGATATCACAAAACAGGCTCTTCAACGCAGTGGGTTGGAATCTGTTTGCATACGGAAATTCTCTTTCACGTAGACTTTCACAGCTGACAGGCCACCTTCGCGGTAAACATTCGCGTTTTAGAGTTATGATAATTACAAAATATTTAATTTTAATTTAGTGACAGGTTTTATAATCCCGACTGCGTAAAATTTATAGGGCTAGATTATTTTAAAGCTGGGGAAATAAAAAAACAATAGAAACAGCCCTGTCCACTGCTCTTGAATTAAACATAAGAACACAATATGAGAAGAAATCGGATTAGCTATACTGAAAAAATGATTATGAAATATACGTGAACTATCCATATACGTGTCTTACTTGAGAAAATTTTTAGTCGTTGGACGGCCAAGAGGTTTCATCCTTAGGATATATGCAACCAGCAGTATGGCCATTGTGTTCACAATTGACCACTACTGTTAACTATCCTGGACAGAATCCTTTCCGTCCCCCCACTCTCTTTTGTCTGAAATCCGTTTTAATATTATATTCCCATCAACGATTGCATTTCCCTCGTGACTTCTTCAGTTAAGATATACGAAGAGGAGAAGAATATCAAAGTGCACGAATCAAATAAAGAGGAACGAAAATGAGGAACCAGGCGTAATTTTTTAGCAGAAACGCTGATGAAACTGAAATCCGAACCAGTGACAGTTTCAGTAACGATTACAGCCACCAGACCAGCAGAAAGATTTTCCTCACTAAATACAAATTTCATGTTGATAAACGTTTATATTTCCCTGACATAGCTGGCGGTATGAAACATGTGGACGCTTTATGGGGTCCAACAAACACAACACAGGGCAAACCTAGAACAAACAAGTCGAGTCAAGACAGTGTTAGTGCGTAGAAAGTAAATTTATGGGCGAGCAGGGGTTGCATAGGTAACGGCAGCGGCCTATTTACGACTAGACATAAAACGTGCACTCCATTCAGGAGTACACATTTTTCGCTGTTTTGAATCCCTCGTTTGTTCAACTACTGAAGATAGAAACTTTAGTGCAGACCATGAAACATGAAATTCAATCATACTCCTGCGAACTTGATGCCTCCTTCTGCAACGTTCAAGGAAGGAGGCAGCAACTTTCTCCGAAACGTCGGTAATTTTCTCCACCATTTCGACACGGCATTGTATATGCACTCAGAAGACTTCACAGTGAATTCGAGCAGCTTTGAAAACTTCAAGTTTAAAATTGAAGCATTTTTATAGATAAAAGCCAACACGGAAACAATCAGAACGACACACATGCCTCCAGAATTTGAATCTCTTGCGACAAATTGAAGGAGATCAAGCATGAAAGCCAAGTAGACGCCACTGACCCCATATAATATCACAGGCTGAAGAACGGAAGAAGAGTCCCATAATTAAACACTCACACACTCACAAAACTCTATAGTTCGCAGTCAGTCCCGCAATCCACAGCGCTCAGCACAACAGCAAGTAGCCTTTACGTAAATATTGAAATGAATGTCATTAGCATGAACTATGCATATATTTATCCATGTCCAAGGTGCGTTAAGTTTCAGGCCGTTTCGTCATCCTGTTTACCAAATATACTTTGCAACATACATAATACGTATAAAATGCGAAACCATGCAATGAAGGTACGTGCGATTTCCTTAATATCTAACGAGTACTTAACATCGCCCTCATGATTTCAGCAGCAAACACCTCTAAAGTGTCGGGCAGTTTCTATCAGACTATACGGCGCAGGATGTCGATTATTTAATCATTTTCACTTTGAGCTTTTAATAAATCAATAAATGTATTATTTCGTCTGCGTATCTCCATGGTAACCAGCAAAGTAAAATGTCACAAATCATAAATTTAAAAGTCCTGGAAATGAAAAATGTTAATTTTATTGATACATTGGATTTTTGGACCTCAATCTCGCCGAATGTTAAATAATTGTCGGTCATGACGCCATGATGGCGCTCTTTCAACTTCAAAGGCAAGGCATTAACCACTCACCTCAATGAAAATGAGGCTGTCAAAACAAAGGAACGCATCCCTGTCAAGTATCAAACACGACAGTAAATTGACTTGTCTGTACTCGCAAGCATTAGCATGTCTCCACACCGCTTTCATTTCACCGCGCCGACATGAAACCAAGACATTACAGGCCTGAACACTGGGGACAAGCCATTCTGACTATTAACACCAACAAACCGGGGAAGCAAGAAGGCCGGTAAAGTCAACCATTCTCTTAATCGACTCCACGGAGCACAGAGTTCCTTGAGAAGCTAATAGTCGCTCTGCAGGTCAAATTTCCAGCGTGTTATGTAACTCGAATGATCACAACAACCCTCCACTGGACCATATCCTGAGCTACCTTAATCCACTCAACGCCCTAATTACTAAAAATTAATTTTAATATTATCCTCCCATCCACGCTTAGATCTTCCAAGTGATCTTCACACTTCAGGTTTTCAACTCAAATTATGCATGAAATTTTCACCTCGTCCGCGTCATTTTCCTCCCGACATCAGTATTTGCAGAAGCTCATTATTCTTCCCTTCTGCATTTGTCTGGGATGAGCAACAGCTGCCCCGCGGACCGGACAGAGCTTCATATCTGATTATCCCATCACTGGCTACTCTAAATCTCCTTTTTTTCCTTCAGAGTGGAAGACCAATTTTCTTACCAATACATACAATCTCATTCGTGTTCTGAGTATCTAAATTCCCTTCTACGAGTTTTACATCAGGCATCTCAAACGAGTAAGAGACCAAAGCCAGGAAGCGTATTTCTTCTGTCACTGCATGTGTATGATAAGAAACACTTACAAGTACACGAGCTGATAACTTTTTACTGCTTTCCTGATAAT